CAAGTGTGAAAGTGGAATATAGGCATTTTCAGACATTCATGATCTCAAAAAAATTAAAAATCAATCTCCCACTAACCCATTAGTAAGCAAAACTGATTAATGTGTTCCATCAAAATGAGGAAGTCAGTCAAGAAAGAGAAAAACATGGGACTTAGGAAGACAGGAGATACAATACAAAAGGAAATCAAATGGAATCTCTAGGGGGAAAGTGAAGGAAGAGCCCAAGATGGCAGTTACATAACAAATATTTAGAGCAATCAGAAGATTGACACACTAAGGACTACCATTAGCAAGATCCTCTTGCCTTTTTGCCAACCTTATAATCTGAGGACTGAATGCCCAAATAAAGCCTGGCCCAGTTTCTCATATGCACTTGGCTTATGTGAACCATGTGCTAATGCCTTTCTTCTCCACTCCACATTCTGGCTCTTGAATCAGTTGAGAATATTCATTTCTTTCTAGAGAAATGTTTTGCTTTGATCTATTCCTGAAAGTTTGAGGTAGGCCATAGTAAGCTTAAAATGGAAAATACAATGCAGTCTCTTCCTTTCATCCTATTCCTACTGGACATCCATTACCAGGCCCGTCTATACTTTCACCAGATGCCCCAACTGTGCTAAGTCCTGCTTCCCAAGAGTCACCTCCTAACTGTGCATCCTGACTTCCCCAAAAGGGGCTCTTAAGATTTTTCAGGAAAGCTGAAGCCAGGCTATGACCCAGTGACGCTGCAAGTTATGTTTTCTGTTTCATTTAAGAGTGGACATATTGCCTTTTCCTTACACAGGTAGGCTTGTGCTTGCTACTCAGTTTTTCCAGGTATTGTTTGAAGGATACATGCATGGGTGATAAAGCTATAAAGAGAAATGCCATAATGAATATAAAACGAGCAAAACAGTTCCTCTAGAAGGGTGAAAAGGAGGCACCTAGAGCTGTTTCTAAAATGTTGGTAATGCTTTGATCTAGTTAGTGTATTTACAACTTTTCATTTTATAATTATTCTTTAAAATACACATATGCATTTTATACACTCTTCTATGTGTGTGATACACTTCACAATAAAAAGAAAACATGCTGCAACATAATAATGTTCATAACTGGAAAAGTAGGCCATAAAATTGAATGCATGCTATGATTATAATTGTGTGCATTATATGACAAGGGGGGAAAGAATGGAAGGCAGTTATACCCAATGAGAGCAGTAAATTATGGTTGAAAGATCATGTGTGATTTTCTCAAAAACCCAGCAGCTTTCAAATGATTTCAAATGCATTATCCCATTTAATCCTCACCATTCTGCAAGGCAAAGATTTTCACAGTCCTCATATTACAAAGGGAGAAGCAGAACTTACATAGTTTAACAAACTTGCCCGTAATCTCACCATCAAGGAACAGTGGATCTGGGACTCAAACCTCCATTGCCATACAACCTCTCTATGCTACTCATTTCTCTCGCCTTGATCAGGTAACAACCTCACAAAGCCTCAGCATCCTCATCTTTAAAGTAATAATGATGCTGATGGGGCTTTATTACAAGAGTTGTCAGGATTAAATCAAGTATGTAAAGCACTTACATACAACCTAGCACATTGAAGTACTTGATAACTATTACACATCAGTAATAGTAATGTTAATATTAAGGATTAATTAGATAGTTGAGTTCAGTACTACTTAACTAGGCATTAGGCAAAGAAGAATGCATATGAGTTCACTGTCCAGCAGAAACAGACAATTAAACAAATTCAGGAACCTATGGAAATGATGGAGGTATAGGTATACATGTGATGCTAGGGGAACAGGGGAGCAGCACTTGGATTGGGCCTGGCCAGGGGAAGGCAGTTGGGGAAAGCTTCCCTGGGGAAATGTTACACACTCTGAGATGTACAGTTGAATTGGAAAGGAGTCTATGTCCAAGCTATGCCCTCAACCCTCATCAGAGAAAGGAAAAACGATACTGGAGCTGAGGTAAGGATATTACTGTTCCAGAATTTAATATTACATACTAAAATGGTCTACAGTGGGGCACCTGCGTGGCTCAGTCAGTTGAGTGTCTGACTCATAATTCCAGCTCAGGTCATGATCTCATGAGTCATGGGATTGAGCCCCGTGTCAGGCTCTGTGCTCAGCAGGGAGTCGCTGGAAATTCTCTCCCACTGCCCCCCCATACCCGGCTCACATGTGCTCGCTCTGTCTCTCCCATAAATGAATAAATCTTTAAAAAAGAAAAAAATTAAATTAAATGATCTACAGTGACTACCATATCAAAGGAATAAAGACAAAGGGTCCCTGGTTTTAACAATTAAAAGATAAGTAGTTTCAGAAAAACTTGAGTATGTACCAGGAATTACACAATACCAAAGTATTGTTCATTTTATTAGAAGTGATATGGTGGTTATACTTTTTTAATGTCTTTCTGTTAGAGATGTAGAGTTCATTCTCCAAAGTTAACTTACACAAATGGCCCGCAATGGGAATGGGATGGGAATGGGGATGATGATTATAAAAGAAAGTGTAAGAAATAAATCACCAGAATTCAATGAGAATAATCTTATCTCTACTTTTATATATATTTGGCATTTTCTATGATAAAAATTTCAAATAAAAAAAAGTCACCAGTGACCTCGAAGGAAGCCATTTCAGATAAATGTTGTGGGGAGAAGACAGATGGCAAAGGGTCAGAGAGTACATGGGTGATGAGACATGAAGACAATGAGTACAACCTGACTCAAGAATTTTGGCCATAGTTCCGTGGAGGATCAGGTTGAGAAAATGAAGAAAAAGATAAATACACAGATATACACAGAACTAAACATGGTTTGGCTATAAGGGAAATCTAAACACACTTGTAATGTCTAAAGGAAAAAGCTGGTGGAGGGAGAAAGATTGAAAAGTAGAAGAGAAGAGACAGTAGATTAAAATCCCAGATAGCAGGCATGGGTCCTAAGAAGAGAGATGATTCAGGCACCAGTAAGAGAGCAGCAAAAGAAACTGCTTTCAAACCCATGTCAGATGGGGAAAATGCCAGCCTGGGCCCCACCTATTTCAGAAAGACAGCACCCATCACCACTATGGCCTGTGTGGAGCTTCTGAGGCAAGGCCTGACACAGAAGGGCATAGGCTACCAACAAAAAGGAGGAAAAAAGGAGTGAAGAAACATACAGATTGCAAGGAGACAGCTACTCAGAGTGAAAAATCTGATCCTGAAAAGAATCTGATATCAGGGTGAATCGTATCATTCAGCCACAGGCCTGCTCCACCACTCAGTCCCATCAGATTCCAGCTAACAGCCTACACGCAGGCTCAGGTCTCTAGTTCAGGAAAGATAAGATGCCTGGCCCAGGCTGGAGTTAGCAATCTACGGGTTCATATGGGCTCAGCCTGAGGTAAAGGTTAAGGGGTGGAAGGGAGCTGTGTCCATTTCCCAGAAGTTCCAAGACCCAGATTCAACAGGCCCTGAATCTCAAGGGTCAGTCCACACCTGGGCCAACATTTTTGGTTTGAAATGGCAACAGGCTGCTTAAATGGCGACTCACTAACAGAACCCATGTTATTATCCGACATTAAATTTAATGATGCAGGAATTTTGGCTCACCATTTCTCTATAACTCAATTTCCTTAAATTGGCCCATGGTGGGAGAAAATTATTCCAAAATAATTACCATAAGAAAAAAAATTATTTCTTTTTTTTTTTTTTAAGATTTTATTTATTTATTTGAGACAGAGAGAATGAGAGAGAGAGAGAGCATGAGAGGGGGGAGGGTCAGAGGGAGAAGCAGGCTCCCCGCCGAGCAGGGAGCCCGATGCGGGACTCGATCCCGGGACTCCAGGATCATGACCCGAGCTGAAGGCAGTCGCTTAACCAACTGAGCCACCCAGGTGCCCAAAAAATTATTTCAATGAGATGAATAATTCCTTTCCTCCATGCAAACCAAAGAAATATTTCCCACCTTTTCCCCTATATCCATCCAAAAATGTATCTGACTCAGCAGTCCTTTGAGAGCCAACAATAACTTCCAATTGTTTAGGAACTAGAATTCTACCAGAACAAATCATTTTCTTAACAATGCCAGCTGAGGAACTGCGAACTATTTGTTGCACTGTTTAGCTGCTTTAATAGGGCATCGTTAACATTCCCTCTTCCATTCACTACTTGAGATGCAAAGCCAGGGAAACGGTCCACTAGGTGTGAGTACAGATACTCTAATTAGCAACACTGTAACCAGGGTTTCTGCCCACTGATATGCTAAATCACATGAACTGCATGAAGAGTGAAATAAGAGTGGCGAGCCTTTCAGATCTGCCTTCTGAGCTGAATCCACATTCTATTTCTAATTAGAGCGACAAAGATTTCCTATACAAAGTTCCGCATTTCTAACTCTGCATCCGTTACTGACTCCTCCTTGGAGCCAACCTCACCCGCAGTCCTCACAGCGATAATCACTCCTGTGTGTGTGGTTTTTCTTCCTGGGACAAAATCCATTTGACCTCACCAGGAATTCTCAGTTACAATACCTGCAGAAAAGAGTTATTCTCAGAGAGCAGCTTGCCCCGTGCCGGGCTTCATTTGTCCTTCCCCATGGGTCATTTATCACAGGGAGGTGGCCTGTTGAGGTAAATCCTAACTGAAAGCCCAATGGGCAACCTGGATGTCAGCGCTGAGCAAAGGGACTTATTTTGCACCCTGCATACAGGTGCGCTGGCACAGAGCCAGATAAAGTCCCACCAGCCGGCTACAGCACATGCCCTATCACTGTCTCTGGAGAAAGACTCTTCTAATTCTTGGAGAAGAATAATCATACAGGGGCGCCTGAGTGTCTCAGCTGGTTAAGCGACTGCCTTCAGCTCAGGTCATGATCCTGGAGTCCCGGGATCGAGTCCCACATCGGGCTCCCTGCTCAGCAGGGAGTCTGCTTCTCCCTCTCAAGCTCCCCCATCTCATGCTCTCTCTGTCTCTAGCTCATTCTCTCTCTCAAATAAATAAATAAAATCTTAAAAAAAAAAAAAAAAGAATAATCATACAGTTCTGCCATTTACATATGCAATCTGAGATTTCCACCCTGCTAATGGCTTTGGCTTCTATAGGAGCTTTAACTACCTGAATAAATTTAGCTGTGTTTCTGCTTCCATCTTCTTATCCTTCCTCCACCCCCCTGGACTTGCCTTTATATGCAGAATCCATTTATAAATACCTCAGGGTCACTCGTTCAGCAGACACAAGTGCATGGTATGCACCAGGCACAGTGGTGGGCATATTGAAATCCCTAGAGGAAGACAGAATTTTGATTTTGAAAGAGAATTCTACAGCACAGTGATACAAACCTTGGTTGTTGATTTCCAACATTTAGAGTGAATCTATGCATAAAATTTGTAATCCTTAAACAAGGTACAGAGCAGGATGTGATGGTGGCAAAAGTGACGAAGTAACAACACAAATGACAAATGCTGGGAAGTGGAAAGGAGGGAATACTGCTGAGGGGCAGGGTTGGGGAATCAAGAGATACTTTCTAAGGTCTACGGAAGAATAAATAAAAGTATAAACATTAAGTCTACCGAGGTGATTGTCACCTCCCCACTCATCTCCTGCTTCCCTCTGCCTTTTGCTTGTTTGCAGAGCCCAGATTGTATTCATCTGTCCACACTATCCTTTGGAATCATGTGCTGAGGAACGACTGGGGTAACTCACGATTCATCTAAATGGTGGTAACTCTGCACTCCTTGTCACTCCTTATTAGTGGGAATGTGGCTGGCTCTAGCCAGAGACATGAGGAGAAATCTGCACTGGCCTTCTGGGAGAGATAGAAAGGAAGAAATAGCCTCTTGTGTTCTTTGAGACATCATCTGAATTAATTAACCTTAGAGCTGTTCTGCTATCTTGGAACATCTTATTGTGGGAAAATACATTTTTCTTACTGCTTAAATATTTGGAATTGATTTTTTTTCTTACTAGAAGTGAAATCAGCCTAACATACAATAACTCATTGAGGAATTTAAAATGATGGTTTAGGGCGCCTGGGTGGCTCAGTTGGTTAAGCGACTGCCTTCGGCTCGGGTCATGATCCTGGAGTCCCTGGATCGAGTCCCGCATCGGGCTCCCTGCTCAGCAGGGAGTCTGCTTCTCCCTCTGACCCTCCTCCCTCTCATGCTCTCTGTCTCTCATTCTCTCTCTCTCAAATAAATAAATAAAATCTTTAAATAAATAAATAAATAAATAAAATGATGGTTTAACTGAACTGGGTAGAAGGGGGAAAAGAAGGAAGGAGGAAATATAAGTGAAGTAAATTCCCATGTATAATAGCAGAATCAAGGTCAACATATTTTATGTAGGATTATATATAAATTTTTTTAAAGAAAAGAAAAGTAAGCAGTGTAAGCTTTCTATTTAGAGAGATGAAGGGAGTCATCAGAAGAAACAAGTTAAAAATGGGACTGGAGCTGAGGAGGGGAGGGATAAGGAAATGTTCCTTTTCATTCTAAGTGCTTTTGCACTATTTTATTTTGAAACTATGTGCATGTGTTATTTTTGATAAAAGCTTTAAAATTTACATAAAGAAGAAAATGAATTCAAAACTAGAAATTAATTTCCTCTTCTGGAGCCACTAGAGAGAAAAATAAAATTCTTTTTCAGAGACAAATCAGCAAGTTAACAGAAGCACTTTTCACCCAGGAAGAATTCCTGGGCCCCAATGCTTTTCCTCCTGGATCTGTGCCGGAGTGTTCCCTTTGTGCAGATGTGGATTAGGCTTTTGGCAGGGAAAGTGTTTGAAATAGGAGGAGATAAGGGAGCTTGGAGGGCCAAGAAAGAGAAAAATCCCCCAGCTGTAGTGCGACCAGTTTTCCTCTCCCTCCAAATGATGTAAATGACACAGACTCTCAGATTCCAGTGTGTTAAAATAGGTAGCAGTTATAGGAGTTGGATAACTAAGCATGCTGAATTTCTCCCACTGAAGGAAGGCACCAATTTTCTTCAAGCTGATTTCACTCTCAAAAGTACAAGAGAAAATTGCCTTGGTTATCTTGACAGTCTCCTCAGGGATGTGAACAAAGATCACACTTCATCTCCTACACCCTTTTGACACTGTTGACTAAAAGGTACTAATGACCTAACTTGAGCCACCAGCATAGTTTTAAATCAGCTAAAGACATTCCTCTTCAACAAATCCCAAAGCTTCTAAAGCTGCAATTTTGTTCCCAGGGGATCAGAGTTACTGATACAAGTTCTAGGAAGAAGATAATCCTATAACTTCCAGAGTCCAGAAAACACTGTTTACTTCTCCAACCTTATTCACTTCATGTCCCATTGAACTCCTGGTCAATTAGGCTGTTTCTTTTAAGCTGTTTTTCAGTAATGCAAGCCATACATATAGGTTTAAAGTCAGCTAAAATAAATCCTGACTTGAATCTAGTAAAGTTTTCTAAAAATGAACCTATTACAATATCAATATGCATTGACCTAGACATGCATATTTCTAGGAACATATCCTATAGAAATAAAACATACACGGAGGTGCCTGGCTGGCTCAATCTTGATCCCTCTTGATATCAGGGTTGTGAGTTCAAGCCCCATGCTGGGTGTGGAGAAATAGAAAAGAAAGGAAAGAAAGAAAGAAAGGAAAGAAAGAAGAGAGAAAGAAAGAAAGAAAGAAAGAAAGAAAGAAAGAAAGAAAGAAAGAAAGAAAGAAAGAAAGAAAGAAAGAAAGAAGAAAGAAAAAAAGAAAGAAAGAAAGAAAGAAAGAAAGAAAGAAAGAAAGAAAGAAAGAAAGAAAGAAAGAAAGAAAGAAAGAAAAAACATACGAGATTGTATACTGCAGCATCATTTGTTATGGCAAAATAAAATAAAATAAGATTTAAAAAGCCCCTAAGAGTCAAACAGCAGGAGATTGAACAAATAATGACATCCATACTGCAGATTATAGAGTTATTAAAAAATAAAAACTAGATAGCACTTCGTGAATTTTCATAGAAAAATGTCCATGTTACATGAAAAAAGCAAGTTGCAGAAATACATGTACAATGTAATTCCATTTTTACAAAAAGTATGTGTGTGTTTTCATGTAACTGGAGAAAGATTATGAAAAGGTATACATCAAACTGTTCATGGTGATCACCTCAGGGCATGGAATTAGAAGGGAGTAGAGTTTTACTTTATATACTAGTGAATATTTTGAATTGTTATGTCAGTTATGCAACACAAAATAAAATTTGTTGGAAATGTGGGAAAGGTGATCAAATCTCCTTTCCCAGGATCATACTTAATATCACAATTTAATGAGAATCTGTCCAATTTCTTAAAATCTTCAGAAAATATTTTACAACCTTCTTTTGTAACTTTGTCCTAATAATAGTTTCCATTTATTGAAAGGCTAACATGTACCTGATATGGTTTAGGTGCTTCTCATACAGTTACTTACCTTAATCTTTCAGTAACAGCACAGGCTTTATTAGGTCCATTCTACAGGTGAGAGGATGAAATTATTCAAACAGGATCACATAAATCAAACAAGCAGCCTAGTCAGGATACCAAAGCAGATCTAATTGGAAGGCTTGTGTTCTTCGCAGGACTACACCGTATCTATTAAACACATGCATCTAGGTTAAATCACTCACTTCATTACAAATTCAATTACTTTTGTAAATGGAAATAGCACATACTGAGGGAGTCTAAAACCTACCTCACAGAGTTGTTAGAAAAGAATCAAAGGCGGTCTGTCTCAGTTCCCTCCCCTTCCACTCATCATGCTAGTCTCCTAAAGAAAACTCATCCCCAAGCCGCCATGTCCTCTACTACTCCATGCCATGCTCCTCTAGCCCTATCTTCTACCTTTATCCAATTTCAAAAACTCTCCCAGGGAGGTCTCTCCAAATTCTCTAGGTTACTCTAGATGTGAAATCTGAAGAGATATTTTCAATGTTGAAGATTACTTCACAGCTTCTAAAAGCTAAGATCTTATTCGTGGGTCCCCAATAGCCCGCAGGCACTGTGTCCGGTTTTGTATGTTAACAAAAACAAAAATAGTGCGGATTCTTGGTCATTTGACTAACACCTTTTAGCTCTTCTTGTAAACAGTTTGTCATTCCTGGCCCTGAATTTGTAATATCTGTTAGTAACTCTACGGGAGGGATATTGGTCAACAATTTTGAGAGGGACATGTTCATTAGAGCCAAAGAGGAAAACTCAGTAGGGTTTATATAATGCAAAGCATAGTAAATAAGAATGGGGAAAATACAATAGACATTGGAGAGGCGGTAGCTCCATCTCCTATCATGTACCCTGAGACTTGACTGGATTTATTACTGATGCTGTATTCTCACACAGCTTCAGTGACCAGAAATGCCTTTCATCCCATCTCTGGCTGGTGCAAAGATCATATTCCCCAGGGACCTAGCACTTCATAATAATGATTCATTATTTATTCCAGCCCCAGGACATTTCAAATGAGTGTTTCAAACCACTGCTGGTTATTATACTGGATTTAACTCTACTGATGCATTTACTGACACCACAGGAACCACTGAAATGCAGTGGCAGTCTCCATAACTCTTGGAAAGCTACATTTTATTTGATTTTCTTTCATGAATCTCAAAACCTAGCACAGTATTTTCCATAATAATTAATCAAAATAGATACATTTGCTGAATGAATTAATAAATGAGTGTTTAAACAAGCTAGCAGAGTAAGAGACTAAGGACTTTAAAGTTTTAAGGAATTAATTCTTTTTCTTAATGAGTATACGAAACCTTTCCCAAGCCTGTGTCAAAATAACCATGAGGATGAGAGCATCTGGTATTGCCTGGCATACTGAGGCATTCAGTATTTGCTGAGGAAATGAATGACAAGCTTGCCACAACAAGTTTATTCTCATTATTTTTCCTGATGACATGGTAAGTGTTGTGGATTAGAAACTGGAAATTTATGCCTGCTCCCCCCCCCCTTTTTTTTTTACCTACCTTTAATTTCTCTGCTTGGGCTCACTGTTACCTGAGTCATAGTGTCTATATATCCTACAAATAAAAAGATACATACCCACCAGAGAGAAAATTCAGCAGGCTGCTTCTAAGATATTTCCAGAAAACAAATCTTCAGAATCAATAAAAGGAAAGGAGACAAAACAAAATTAAAAAAAAAAAAAAGGCATCGCCAAAGTACAGCTATGGCTAACTGGAAAGGACTCTTCAAACCATCAGAGGAAATCTCACCTTTAAGTGTCCTTGAATTGGAAAATGACTCAGGTGATAGCACATAATAAGCAATTACTTTATAATAATATTTTCTTTTTCTTTTTAAAGCTACTGGTATTAACTGGTTTGGCAATCTTCTTACTTAGATCTGGAAGCATGTGCCTATGGAATTTCAAGAAGGCACATATCATGACTCTGTCTTTCCTAAAGGTACTGAATACACCAATGGCTAAGTCACAAGCCTATGTATATGGGAGGGATGTCACAGTTGGGGGACAGGTGAGGGGTGTTCCTCTTCATTTACGTTTTATCTCCATACTGTTGCTGTAGTGGTTTTTCTAGTATGGAAGGCTAGAGTAAGTCACCTCTACACGTGAAACTCTTCAATGACTCCCCCTTGCCGCCAAGATAACTTCCTCAGTATGATGTCTACCCCCATTCAGGACCTGGCACAACATTCTCAATCTGGAATCTCCATCTGAGAATATATATTCACAGGGGAAAAAAGACATGATCGATCGATCTATCTAGTTCTATCTGAGAGCCCAACAAAATCAGGCATTTTAGACTTGGTTGCTTTCTTCAGTAGGACTTGTTAAACTGAAGACACTGAGGGATTTACTTGTGTTTGCTTTCTCACTCTCAAGACTAATTTGTATCACTCCATAGTCCAGAAGCCTCTGCAGCCAATAAGTAAACTATGTGATTGAAAATAAAATTATAACCTGGTTCTCTATTGCCTAGAGAATTAATTCGAATCCCAATTCACTTCTTTAGTTTAGGGGGAAAAACTAACTGAAGAAATCACACGTTACCAGTACCAATGGTTCACCCAGGCCACAAATTGCAGGCCACTGAGTCCTGGGAAACAAACTGTCACCTAAAAGCATCCCCATTGACATCACTAGCTAAAAGTTTTAGTGCAGACTTCTAATTACATCAACAGGGTAGTTTGGCACAGAATGACTGATGTCTTCCACAAGTCCGAACAGAACTCTGTAAAGAATCATTTCTCTATCAAAACCCCTTCCAACACCACCAGAAGCCTTGACCAATAGCATCATCATTTACTCATTACTCAGGTCAAAAACGCAGTAGCCATCCCTGATTCTTCTCACTCATTTTCTACCCCCAGTCTATCTAAAGGCCTGACAGCTTTGACTACAATAAGTATCTAAACTGACCATTTCCCACCCTCACTCTTACCACCTAATCCAAGGCCACCGATCGGTTCCATTTGTCCATCCTCTCCACAGCAGCCAAATTAACTGTTCTAATTACATCAGCCTGCATCCCTTTCCTACATAAAACACTCAGTGACTTTCACTGCAACACAAATAAACTCCAGACTCCTCACCATGGCCTATACAGCCTTCAGTGACCCAGCCTCCGCCTCCCTCTCCCACCTCATCCTCCCTTCCCCCTTGCTCACCAGAGTCCAATCCACTGGCCTTGTTTCTGTTAAACAGGCTGTGCTCAGCCCCTACACCCTCAAAATAGTCAAATGGACTGCTTTCTTCCCAACATTCAGACCTCTACTCAGATGTCACTCTTCAGAGAAATCTTTCCTGACCAATAGAGGTCACTCTCTAGCACATTACCCTATTTTACTTCTTCCACAGCTCAACTTTTATTATCTGCCTCCTCTCACTGAAGTGGGAGCTCCTTAAGGGCAGGAACCCATCTGGTATGTTCTCCGCTCTATCCTCATGGACTACAAGAGTTCTTGGCACAAACTACAAATGAATAAATATTTGCCAACTAAGTACCACAAAAAAAGGATCTACTTTCCCACATACCAGATGCTAGTGTTCTGCCAGAATTAGCACACCTAGAAGGCACCATAGTTTGAAAAAAAAAACAACTTATCTCTTTGAAAGGAGTATTTCAGACAACTATGAATCAGACTTGTATCCCAGAGTAAAGAAATGACTTGTCGTAAGCAGATACAAGAGTAGTTCATTTTTCATTCTCCTTGAATTAAGATCTAAAAGTCTGATTTCAGCATCCTGAGATCTTCAAACTAAACCTGATGAGTTATTTCCCCTTTCCTGTCAACTGATAAACAGAAGCTGCCGGTCAATTCTTACTCTCATTTACTCAATCTTCAGTCTTTGGGATTGTTTGCTTTATCTTAATGCAGTTACAGCTCCACTCTGTGGAAAAACAGGGAAAAGAGGCAATGCAGTGCAGGTATGTTACCTATGTGACCATGACATGGGGAAACTATGTAGAGATTACAGTCTGTAAAAAGATGCACAAAATATCAAAATGATGATGTGTCTTTTATTCTTATTTGGATTGGATATGGTTAATCTTTAGAAATTAAATATGAATCACAGACCTATAAATGTTTGATGATTTACTTGCTCTCTTTCCCATAGTCCCACCTCCCATCTCTATTTCCATACAGGCTTGAAACTGTTCAGTAAGTTTCTCCTTTTAGTAATACATCTGTCAGTCGACACGGTGACATGTATAAAAATCACAAAGTTCATTTTGGTCACACCCAGGAATTAGACAATTAAAAGCAAATGATTTCCTATATCTAGATGCACTGAGATACAGCCATGGAAACTAGCAGAGGCAGCACTGCCTTCTCTTAAAAGGAAAAGAACATTTTTCACTGATATCCCTTGACCCTCGCCTAGAAATAAGATCCTTCATGAAGCTGCCAATCGTGATGAGCAACACTGAAGACCTAATCAATGTCCAACTGGTTCAGTTTCTAAGAGAGCGGGTGCAGATATGAGTTTCAAATGATCTCTCCCAGAAAAGCTCAGAAATATTTTTAACATTTCTTAGGATTTAATACATTGCAGTTTGGGGTCTCCAAGGTATCAAAGCACAGCCTGGTTTCTAGTAACACAGCGACACCCGATACAAGAGCTACACTGCTTCCACCACTTTACTATCTAAGAATTTAAAACCATTTGGACCCAGTTTCAACATATGATCGATGGACACAGTATTCATCGTCCCTTCTCTAGCTTCAGTGAGTTGAATTTGAGCTCCACTTTATACTGGGATTTTCACTGACTAACTCATTAGAAAGCTTCAACCCTTAGTGAAATTAGAAACTAGGCAACATTTATCTTTGGTGACCCAAGATAACCCTTCATCTCCACCCTCCCCCATTTTCCTGCCCCTTTTTACCTCTCAAGTTCTTTCCTTATCAAAACAGCCTCTAATGAAGAGATCTGAATTCCTCAGGACTAAAATAAATCTCTGCTAGAAGCTTCAAGGATGACTTTTCTCAAGGAGCTAAGGGAACAAATAGGAATCAAAGCTTTGAATTACACTATGTTTTCAAGAGTAAGAGAACAAGCATAAAGGACAGATTAGTACAAAAAGGGAAAATTTCATAGAGGAGCCAGTGACTGAACTTGGTTCTTAAGGATGAATAAGAATTTGTTCAGCAGTCAAGGTTAAAAGACATTTTAAGCAATGAGATCAAAGTGAGCAAGCTAAGGTGGAGTGAAAGCATTGTATTAGTAACATGGCTTCTAATTTACCTCTCTCCCCCTGCCCCAGAAGATCTTGACCATCAGGATTATGAAATCTGCTTAAAACAATTGGTGCTCAGTTTTAGAACATAGATTATGTACTGAGAATATTATTGATGGATATTCACTATGTGGAATACAATGATGAGTCAGACACAGCCCAACCCCAAAGCAATTCACAATATAATGGGTTTAGATAGAAATGTATGCATATCATATAAGAGAATGAAGACTGACTAGGAGGGAGAGAGAATGCTGCATGAACTGGATAAAAAGCCAGCTCGCCATAAAGTTAGTCAGCCACTAGCTTCCAAATTGGAAGTAATGGTGCATAGATGATTTTAAAATCCTACCGAGTGATAAGGTCAATGTTCTGAAGTCTTACCTGAGTTAGAGGAGACTGGTGTGGGTAGAAGTGGTTTGCCTTTTGTCCCCCCACTAAAGTTTCCAATTTGTTGAATAAATTCAACTCACAAAGATCAGCTTATTCCAGAGTGGGACAAATACTCAAGGGTTTTACATTTTCCACATTTACTAACTTCTCACAGAAGAATTCCTAATCACAGGAGAATTCACCCATAGCTTAAATCATGTTGGGAGCATTCGCAGCGAAAGGGTGACCACTTCCTTGTTTGCTCTGACCACAAAACCCATCTTCCTTGAAAAAGAGATTAAACCTCGATATCCTGCTGATCCCTCAAAATCTTGCCTCTGTTTCAGAGGGCTGCATGCCCCGGTCATCTGGTTCCCTTGGACACATCACCTCTCAGCCTCATCTCCTTGATGTGGAGCTACAGATCACTCAAAATGAAATTCAGGAAATCTCTCAGTCTGGGTAGAGTTCTCAGCTGAGGCCAGCCTTCACTCAGCCAACAGTATGAAGGCCAATTAGGGCAGGGAGAGCTTTGCTGCCACTGGAAATGTTGACAAATAGCCCTCCACTGTGGCTAGATCATGGTCCTCTGTGTTGAGTTTGAGCTTTCTAGGAAGCCTCTGACCTCTCTGGTCAAACAACCAGCTGATTGTTTTGGACGATATGAATTGTGTCAATATTTTTTTAAGGCTGAACATTTTTAACAGTTTGAGAGAATGCTCTTCAAAGCTTCAGGTACTGGGTCAAATGTACTTTTCCTTTAAAGAAAAAAGGCTCATCCTTTCTCTTTTTAACTTTTATAGCATTATGGACAATAGTTGAAAGAGCTTTTTTTTTTTCTTGTTTGCTTTCTTGAGTGCGGAAGTGTGGAAGGACCATGTTAAGATGGCCTTCTCTCTTGAGAATCCAATCACATGCCTTCAGATTCCCACCAATGTAATAACATGAGCTCTCACGTGCAATGAATGTACAAACAGGTGATAAAAGCAATCTCAGTAAACACTGAGTTTCCTATTACAT